CGTTTCAAAACGATGAGCACACTATTAAGACGTCTCTGTAAACCTTGTTCCACAAGAACTAATAGACATTTTGGAATAGCAGTTTATTCTGAAATTTTGCACTGTGTAGAAAGTGCCAAATTACGAAATAAGCTATTTTGAAATACACGCGAAATAGACTACACAATTTGCATAGTTCAAATTTCTTAGCTTATTTAGAGCTAAGGGTGCAGTGTAGACTCACCCTAGATTAGTAAACAGGTTTATACTTCATATTTATAACTTAAAATACAGGAATGATACATGCAAACACATAGAATATCCACATTCAGCAGATTTCAAGCTTTCAAGTCAGTTCAGCGATAATTGTATGGGGGCTGTTAGAGAAGAAACAGGCGACCCAAGAGCAGATGGGGTAAACAGAACTGCTTTATTGCCTACGCACATTTACTTTGGACATTCAACACAAGGTCTGAGTGGCAACAAACTGGCATTAGTCGTACCCTTTTATCTATTTTAGTCTGTTAATTCACATGTCTATCAATATTTTCCTAAAACCTTATTTAGTAATGTTAACTCCCATAAAACAAATATTAATGAACAAATAATGAATTGAATTATACCCACCCCTAATTACCGATTTCTAATTAAATCAACACTTTTCTATACTACAGACTTTCTTACTCACAGGTTACAGAGATTACAAGGAATTTGACCCTGAAGATGTGTTATATAGAGCCAATGAGGATAAGCAAGAGACATAACAAAATAAATCAACTCCATATTTATTTGGTTTCTTAGGCTACAAGAACGAAGATAAAGAATATGTTTATACATTAGAAGGCACAAAATGAGATCAAACTAGCTACAGGCATAAAGGGAAACAAGAAGACCTTTTATAAATACATTAAAAGCAAGAGGAAGACCAAGGACAGGGTAGGCCCACTGCTTAGTAAGGAGGGAGAAGCAGTAACAGGAAACTTGGAAATGGCGGAGATGCTCAATGACTTCTTTGTTTCGGTCTTCACCGAGAAGTCTGGAGGTGTGCCTAACGTAGTGAATACAAGCAGAGAGAGGGTAAGTTTAGAAGATAGGATACACAAAGAACAAGTTAAAAATCACTTAGGAAAGTTAGATGTCAGCAAGTCACCAGGTCCTGATGAAATGCATCCCAGGATACTCAAGGAGCTGATAGAGGAGGTATCTGAGCCTTTAGCTATGATCTTTGAAAAATCATGGCAGACAGGGGAGATTCCAGAAGACTGGAAAAGGGCAAATATTGTGCCCATCTATAAAAAGTGGAATAAGAACAACCCAGGATACTACAGACCGGTCAGTTTAACATCTGTCCCAGGGAAGATAATGGAGCAGGTAATTAAGGAAATCATATGCAAACACTTGGAAGGTAATAAAGTGATAGGGAATAGCCAGCATGGGTTTGTGAAGAACAAGTCATGCCAAACTAATCTGATAGCTTTCTTTGATAAGATAACGAGCCTTGTGGATAAGGGAGAAGCGGTGGATGTCATATACCTAGACTTTAGTAAGGCATTTGATACGGTCTCGCATGATATTCTTATTGATAAACTAGGCAAATACAACTTAGATAGGACCACGATAAGGTGGGTGCATAATTGGCTGGATAACCGTAGTCAGAGAGTTGTTGTAAACGGTTCTACATCCTGCTGGAAAGGGATAACAAGTGGAGTTCCTCAAGGGTCTGTTTTGGGACCCGTACTGTTCAATATCTTCATCAATGATGTAGATATTGGGATAGAGTACACTTATTAAGTTTGCAGATGATACCAAACTGGGTGGGGTTGCAACTTCTTTGGAGGATAGGGACATAATTCAAAATGACCTTAGCAAGTTAGAGAAATGGTCAGAGGTAAAGAGGATGAGGTTTAATAAAGAGAAATGCAAAGTGCTCCACTTAGGAAGGAACAATCAGTTCCATACATACAAGATGGGAAGCGACTGTCTAGGAAGGAGCATGGCGGAAAGGGATCTAGGGGTCATAGTGGACCACAAGTTGAATATGAGTCAACAGTGTGATGCTGTTGCAAAAAAAGCAAATATGATTTTAGGTTGTATCAACAGGTGTGTTGTAAGCAAAACTCGTGAAGTCATTCTGCCGCTCTACTCTGCACTAGTTAGGCCTCAGCTGGAGTACTGTGTCCAGTTCTGGGCGCCACATTTCAAGAAAGATGTGGAGAAATTGGAAAGGGTACAGAGAAGAGCGACAAGAATGATTAAAGGTCTAGAGAACATGACCTATGAAGCCAGGCTTCATGAACTGGGCTTGTTTAGTTTGGAAAAAAGAAGATTAAGGGGGGACATGATAGCGGTTTTCAAGTATCTAAAAGGGTGTCACAAGGAGGAAGGAGAAAATGTGTTCCTCGTGGTTTCTAAGGACAGGACAAGGAGTAATGGGCTTAAAGTGCAGCAGGGGAGGTTTAGATTGGACATTAGGAAAAAATTCCTAACTGTCAGGGTGGGCAAATATTGGAATAAATTGCCAAGGGAGGTGGTAGAATCTCCCTCTCTGGAGATATTTAAGAACAGGTTAGATAGACATCTGTCAGGGATGGTGTAGATGGAGCTTGATCCTGCCTTGAGGGTGGGGGGCTGGACTCGATGACCTCTTGCGGTCCCTTCCAGTCCTATTATTCTATGATTCTAGAAAAGATAGTACTGGTTTTGACTGGACTCTTCCCAAACTACAAAAACCTTGGGCTGTCAAGCAATTAACAAAAATTGTGATTGATCACTCGATTAAAATAATTAATCATGATTAATCACTCAGTTAAACAATAACAAGAATACCTATCTATTTAAATATTTTATTTTTTTGCTACATCTTCAAATATATTGATTTCAATTACAACACAGAATACAAAGTGTATAGTGCTGATCCCAGCCTGGCACTGCCACTTAGAAACATCACAGTGGCATTTCAAAGGGGCAACACTGCACGGAGCCCAGGGTCAGCTGGGATTTCAGCTGATCCTGGGCTCCATGTTGCGCTGCCCCTTTAAAATGCCATTGCAGCATTTCAAAGGGGCAGCAGTGCATGAAATCTGGGGTCTGCTGGGGTGCTGCCTTTTTGAAACATCGCTAAGGTGCTTCAAAGGGGCAGAACCGCACATCTGATCCCGAGCTCCATATGAACTGCCCCTTTGCAATGCTGCAGTGGCATTTCAAATAGGCAGCACTGCCCAGCTGATCCTGGGCTCCATGCAAAGTGCCTGCGATTAACTCTGTTCAATTTTTTAATGCATTAATTCTGCCCTGCGTTAATCAAAGGTGTTAACAAGCATTAATTGACAGCCCTACAAAAAGCAAAAGGGAAAAGCATGTTTAAAGGGTAATGATAATGCCGCTTTGTCCACATGAGGTGTAGACGCAAAGGACAGTGTAGAAGCAATAACTCCTTCTGTCAACAGAACTGTCAACAAAAGGTGTTATTCCTGGTAGAATGAGGTTTACTGCCGTCAACAGAACTGCCGAGTTCTGTTGACTTTATGTCGACAGAACTCAGCGGAAGTGCAGACGCAGGTATAGTTTTGTCAACCAAAGTCCACTTTTGTCAACAAAATCCTGTAGTCTAGACATACCCTCCATTTTGAAATAAACTATTTAAAATAAATTACACAATTGACATAGCTCAATTTGCATATAATTTTTCAATTTAAGCCCTGTTGTGTAGATGCACCCTCTGATCTGTTAGGATTTATCTTCAGGGTCATGATTTAAGGTACATGGGTATTTTTTCCCTCCTCCAAGTATAAAATAAGAGCATTTGTAGACAGTTCCTAACTTTCCTTTTCCTGCCAATCACACTGCAGTGATACTATTAGTCTGTTATCTACCAGAAAGAGAGAATGAGGGAGCAGGAGAGAGAAAGACACTTCCATACAAAGAGCAAGGTTCCATTGCTTCATTGATATTTTTTCCTGCTCTCACTTTTAAGTGTGTGAGCAAAAGGAGATTATAATTTCTCATCTTGTTTGGGCTCATTTGCATCAGGATTACTCACCAGAGAAGAAGGAAAAGACCCCAATCTGCTTCTCGTGACTGAGATTTTAGCCCACTCGCTGCAGCTTTCATACCATATGGCTGTAAAAGCGGTGTGGTGCTCTGCAGAAATGCGAGGTAAGGAAAGCTAGATCCTTTTTTATTGAATATCCATGCAAGTTATTTAGTTCCCAAACAAACTTCAGTGGTGGACAGCTTTTGGAAGGGGGGTTAATGCACTTTTGCATAGAGAACCTTTCTTACAGTGAATGAAATCTTGCTCCTGGTTGAAGTGAATGCAAACTTGCTTCAATGAGTGCAGGATCAGGATTGAAATTCAGCTTGCCTTTCTCCCAGTGCTTAATTTGTGTAGTTCATAGCCCTGTCACATCTAGGCTTTGCATGTCGATAATGAAAGTAAAAAATTGCGTGAGCCTCAGCATCCCTTTTATTACAAATTAAGCAATGACTTGCTCCTATAAGTCATGCCCCACAAATCACTGGATTTGCATGAATAAAGCATGTTGCATTTTAACATCCTTAGTCAAGGGGTAGAAATGTAGCCAACTAGACACATACTTCCCCTCCCCCATTGAGGCTATGACTGGCTTGACACAAGCCTCACCTGCATCTCTAGCTTTGTCAGCCAATGTAGTATGCAAGTTTCCTGTTGAAGTGAGCACTTGTTCTTGGAAGCCTGACACTCTACTAATGGGCCTTAACAAAGATGCTAATTATCTCATCCATTACAAAGATAGCTTCCCCAATTATCACCTCTAATATCATTCATAGATATTAACCTCCCCCCACCATCCTCCCTCTGTTCTAAAATCTGATTTGTCTATTTTATATGTGTTCACTTTTTTTTGATTGTATCCCTGTGGTATATATGGTCATGCCAATTTTCTTCCACAGTTTGATCTGAGGAAGTGGGTCTGGCCCACGAGAGCTCATAACCTAATAAACCATCTTTTTAGTCTTTAAAGTGCTGCATAGTCCTTTCTTTTGTTTCAGCAAGACCAGACTAACACAGCTACATCTCTATTATTGTTTTTCGAAGTGTGAGTGAGAAACATTCAGTCACAAGGCAGACCAGCTCTCTGTGACTTTTTAAGGCAAAAAAGGACTCTGCAGGTGTGTAAGTTCTTGTGATGAGTGGCCAGAAGGCTTTCTCTTGCTCTGTCTCCGGACAAAATGTAATGTCACAGCAGAAACCTGGGACCATCCCAGTGAAAGAAGTCCTCCCGCACATCCGAGGGGATCTCCAGGGATCGCTGTGGCCTTGTGGTCGATCTCTGAGAAACTGTTGTCTGGCTGGCTCCAGCTGCCTGTGAAAAGGGAAGAAATCTACGCAGCACCTGAAGCCTGCCTCCAGACTGTCATGTGTGACCTTTAATAATTTACATCAATAAACATCCTTCAGCACTGTTTCAGTTAACCCTTTGTCGGAATTCATTCCACCATTGGTCCAGGGGAGGGGGAGGCAGGCCCAATATTAATGAATGCATTGGCCATGGAGCAGGCAACAGCATGTGGCCCTGACACAATGCAGAATATCTGCAGATGTTCTAGTATTTAAAAAAATTGTTACATTAGCCATTTAAAAAATATTTATAATTCGGTATAAAATTAAGCATGAAGATAAACACATTGTTTACCATTCAATGTGAGTGTATTGATGGAGATTCCTAAAAAGTTGATAAATAGTCCATTTGATAAGAGTGGATGTATATTTCTCTTGAAAAGTGCCATAGAGGTCTTGGAAAATGTCCTGCTTTCTCACAGAAGAGGACAGGCAAAGCAGGCTTCCCTCACTGCTTCTTGAATTTGCTTGTCATTCCCCCTTCTCTCCCACTTCTCTGCAGACAATTAAGCAAACAATCACAGGGGCTAATCCTGCTAACACTTATGCACATAAGCAGTCCCAATGAAGCTGATGGGGCTACTTACATTAATACCCACCAGGAGGCTGACCTTACAACAGGTTCACGCCTGTGAGTGCATTTTTTAATATTTGCCTTACACAGCTTAGCCATAATGAACAAGTGGAAGTGTTCCCTCCAGGCTGAGGTTTGGTACTGCTCATAGGGCAGTGAAGGAAGCCGATATTGCCAATGCCTGTGCTGTTCTAGTTCTTTGGATAGACTGGACAATTTTCAGCATCGTTGCCCTTAAAATGCACAAACCCATTTATGCATATATTCAATAGTTAAAAGAGATAGTTAAACATACACTGGAAACCAAAACCCCTCAAAATACTAAAAAACAAACAAGCCAAGAATTGTTATGGAGTAAAAGGGCCAATAATAGTAGGGGTACTGGGCTGAGTTATCTTACATGAGCATTGAAAGGGATTAGAAAGCGAAACAAAAGCTTCCAAAAGAGCTTCTAATTTAAAAACAGTGCACATGATTGAAATATTATTGGGTTGTTCTTAAATCTTACCGATCGTCTCAGAAATTTGATAGCAACATCTGTAATGTATATTGCTAATATGTTTTATGTTGTTCAAACATATATTAGTAACTCTATCAGCTGTGTGTATCCTTTCTTTTCATCTTTTTTTAATATCCATTTCGATCACTCCCAAAGAACAGGAGAAAGTTCCTCATCTTCTTTTAATAACATATTCACATTTTTCAACTTTTACTTCAAACGACTATTATAAAAATCCAATACTAGATGTTAGCAAAACTTTCAGTAAGCATTTGTAAATGAGGATGTAAAACATGTGGCATGGATTTTACTAATATTTAACATAAATGAGATCTTCCTGGATTCTAATAGTTATGATAAGGCTATAGTTTAGAAGATTCATCACCTCGCATAAAGCTATTTTTCGTATCAAACTTGTCAGGAAAAGGATGAAAGGGCCAAATGTACTGATTGATGAAGAAAGGTGAAAAGAATTAAAAAGGCATACACTACTACAGTGACAACTGACGTGTGTGTGGGAGAGAGAAAACAGCTATTCAATGGTTAGAAATACCAGAAAGGGAGGGAAATTACACAGCATGCAAAAAAGGGCTATAAAATTAGAAGACTCTTTAGATTAAATATTGGGCATATCTGTGAGATTAGTGAGGGAGTGGAACGTACGCAAAATAAAGGCTGGCTGTTGACATAGCTCATTCTATACATGCAGTTAGGTTGATATAGTTGTGCCACTTGAATTTTCCACACCCCTTAGTGACGTATTTTACACCAATTTGTAGATCAGAACTAAGTCCTTGTATTCTAGCTCTGGGAGTTTTTGGATTGACTTCAGTATGACCAGAATTTCACCCAGAGTTTTGCCGTTAGTGGGGAACAGGATAAGGTACTGTAAAGTAAAAATGAAATGTCTGGAATTGCTAGAGATGATAAAAAGTGCTGGAGAGGAATTTTGATTCCTGAGAGAGAGTTCTTTTCTTTGGGCACTTAAGAAGGAAATACCATGTCCTGCTAAACGTTGTGTTATTGCTGAGAACAAACATATATGTTGGTATGAAGATGCTGTGATTTTTGCCAACATACCAAGAAAAATGGTAATTATAGGATTGATATTGATTTGATTAATTTAAATCGGTGGTTTTCAATCAGGGATATGCATACCCATAGGGGTACACAGAGGTTTTCCAGGGGTTATATCACTTTGCCTGGATATTTGCCTAGTTTTACAACAAGCTGCATGAAGTGCACAACTGAAGTTATTACAAAGTGAAATTTAATAAAGACAATGACTTATTTATACTGGTGTATATACTAAAGCAGCATTAAGCTGGGGGTTGCAATTTGTTTCATAATTATATGGTAAAATGTGAAAGTAAACATTTTTTCAGTAACAGTATGCTCTGACACTTTTGTATATTAAAGTTTGATTTTGTAAGCAGGTAGATTTTAAGGTGGGTATATTGGTTTAGATAGTCATGCTAACTCTGATTTCATCCTTCCTGAACAAGTTTAGATTTTGAAAGGACAATGCTATGTCCATTTTAAAAATTAAATATACAGTTTGACTGTGTGTAACTTTCAAGATGAAATATTTCTGAAATATCTATATCTATATCTAGATATATAAGCTTCTGCTTTTTCAGTGATATAGCAGTAATTAACTATTCATGGCATATCTTCCAAAATATAAACACGATGAAAGCAAAAAGAATAAAAGGAAATGTACTAATAGTGGTAATCGTCCTTTAACCAGGAAACTGAATTGAGGAAAATGCTGTTGTCATGTGATGATTCGTATTACTGTAAGATCCAAAGTTCATAGATAAGTCTTGTAGAGGGAAACCACAGCCAATGTTATGAAAATTTAGCATTATTTTAAATAGTGTTTTAATATATTTACAGCAATATAAACACTTACAACACAGTTTTATCCTTTTGAAAAAAAAATCACAGTTGAAAAAAGGACTTTGATAGCCAACACGTTTGAAACTAAAAAGAGTAAATTACCAGAAGAAGAAACAAGGCTTTTGGTTTGCTCTCTTTCTGAAATAAAATCCTCTGTTTCTTTCCCCCATAACAGTCTTACACTAGTTGTTACACCTGAGGTTTTATCTACTTGCTGCTCTGCCAGGGGAAAGTCTAGAAACCTTTGGGATATAAAAGTAAGATGAAATTTGTGTTGTTTAGCTTTCGGTTTAACTGTAGCCACAGGCAGGGTGCTCTGGCCAGGCTGGAGCTTCCCCCTGCCTGCAACATGGCTGGAGCACCTGCTGACTGCAGTGCAGCGGGCCTGGCCAGGCTAGCACAGACTTCCACTCATGTCGGATGGGAGCCTGCTCCATAGACTCATAGAATCCTAGGGCTGGAAGTGACCTCAGGAGGTCATCGAGTCCAGCCCTCTGGCCAAAGCAGGACCACCCCCAATTAAATCAATCCAGCCAGCCTAGCCTAGCTGCTGGTTAACTCCTGACATTCTAAGTTTCTGTAATAAAGTTACTAATTGCAAGATACTATAGAATTTAACTGAAGGCCAAATCCTGTGATCCATGTTTATGATGGTAGTACAGGTTGAACCACCCTAGTCCAGGACACTCAGGGCCTGACCAGGACTAGACTATGGGAGATCAATATTGTCAAGAAGTGTTATCAACACTTCCACTGCTTACTGTGATCTTAGAAGACATTTAGGGGTAAATTAGAGCTAAATGGCAGCACAGAACACAGAGCCAGGACTGGTAGCTGCAAACAAATATTATGGGACCATGGGAAACTTGACCAAACTTTAAGTCCCAGATTGACAAAGCTCTGGCTGGTCCTGCTTTGGGCAGGGGACTGGACTCAATGACCTCCTGAGGTCTCTTCCAGCCCTAGGATTCTATGATTCTATGACCACACCTATGATCAGTAGATATCCAGCTAACTAAAATCATGCCAGACCATGGATGTTGCTGACCCAGAGAGTGCGAGATTAGAGAGATTCAATCTGTGGAACTTCATACTGCAAGCAGTCCTAAGATTGCAATGATGCTGTTGATAGCAGGTTGTGCTATTCAGTATTAGAAGTAGCAGAATCTGGCCCTAAATAAGTACCATATATACTCGGACATAAGTCTGTTCATGTATAAGCCAACCCTCCAAACTTATAGAGAGAAAATGGTAAAAAGTCACTAACCTGTTTATAAGCCAACTCCAGAGTACTGCAGACTACAGGGGTCATCTAGTCTAACCTCCTGTTAATGGAATGCAGTTGAAAATGGTGAATTTCCAGTAAAAACAGGAAAGATATATTTTTCTGACATGAAATACCAGATGAAGTTCTAAATAAACTAAAGAAAAGAGAACATTTGCTATAAATCTCTAGGTTTTTAGAGTCCTTTCTGTAGCATCTTAATATGTGATCCCTATTGCATTCTATAGGTCTTTTCCATAAACACACACACATAACAGGCTGGAAATCGCAGAGACTGAGAGCTAGCCCCAGTAAGATATTTATGGTTCTAACTTCCACTGAAACCATTAGGAGTTAGGAGCAGACTACCTCTGAAGAGCTGGGTTTTAGATCCCGTCTAGCAGAGGGCTTAAATATTTGCTTAATTTTAAGCCTGTATCCCACTGAAGTTATTTACTGATGATTTGTACTACAGTAGCAGCTGACAAGCCCCAATCCAGATCATGGCTCCACTGTATTAGGCACTATACTTACATGTGGTAAAAGACTACCCATGCCGCAAATTATTGGTAATATAAACAGTTAAACAACTTAAAAAAATCCAGATCAACTCATCTGAAGAAGTAGGTTTTTCCCACAAAAGCTCATGATACTATATATTAGTTAGTCTGTAAGGCTACGTCTACACTGGCCCCTTTTCCGAAAGGGGCATGCTAATTTTCAACTTCAGAATAGGGAAATCCGCGGGGGATTTAAATATCCCCCGCGGGATTTAAATAAAGATGTCCGGCTTGGGGAAAAGCCGGAAAAAAGCATCTAGACTGGCCCGATCCTCCGGAATAAAGCCCTATTCCGGAGGATCTCTTATTCAAAGTAGGAATAAGAGATCCTCCGGAATAGGGCTTTATTCCGGAGGATCGGGCCAGTCTAGACGCTTTTTTCCGACTTTTCCCCAAGCCGGAAAAAAGCGGCGGACATCTTTATTTAAATCCCGCGGGGGATATTTAAATCACCCGCGGATTTCCCTATTCTGAATTTGAAAATTAGCATGCCCCTTTTGGAAAAGGGGCCAGTGTAGACGTAGCCTAAGGGTATGTCTACACTAGCCCCCTAGTTAGAACTAGGGAGGCTAATATAGGCATTCGAAGTTGTAAATGAAGCCCGGGATTTAAATATCCCGGACTTTAATTGCAACTTTGAATGCCTACATTAGCCTCTCTAGTTCGAACTAGGGGGCTAGTGGAGACATGCCCTACGGTGCCACAGAACTACTCATTTTTTAAAATTTGTTTTATAGTTACAGACTAACACTGCTACCCCTTTGATACAATATAGAAAAAATGGGAGGTGAGTGGGGGGGAAGTGGTGTTATTACTGCAGTTTACAGATGGGGAATGAGAAGAGAAAGTGATATGTGTAAGATTTCACAGGAAGTCTTTTGGAGAGCTGAGAAGTGAAGCCGTCTCTCCTAAGTCCAGTTCAGCACCTTCACTACAAGGTGCTCCTTCCTCCTGACGCAACTTCACTGTGGTGAATATTGAACACTTCCTGTCTGACTTGGAAGGAGATCACACTAACTGTGGCGCATGCAAGGCTGAAAGATACTGGTAGTCCCAGACTGACAAACAGACCAACGTACGACCAGCCGCACTTATGACCAACCTCCCATAAAGCGCAGCCGTAATGTACAAACAGTGATCCGCGCTTACGAACAGCACAGTCCCATTGAAATGAATGGGGTCCGACTTACAAACACATCGAGTTATGACTAAGTGGGTGGGTTCCAGGGGATTAGTTGGGGGGGGGGGAGGCTTGGTGCAGGGTGGCAGCAGGGATCAGCCCCCCCCACTCACCGTGGTGGTGGGAGCTGGAGCGGCCCAGTGGCCTGTTCACTCCACCCCACCCTCTCCTGGTCTGCTGTGCTTGGCTTCGCCATGGCAACGGGAAGCAGAACACACAGGCCCTAGGGCGCTCTGCTTCCCGCCAGCATGGAGAAGAGGGGCGCAGCGAGATGGGAGAGGGAACTGGGGCAGAGCAGAGCAGGCTGCTGGGCCACTCTGGCTCCCATGGCCATGATTAGTGTGGGAGAAGGGGGGCTAAGGCCCCTGTAATCCTCTGGGTTGTGTTGTTTGGGGAGGGGCGGAGTGGAGGCAAACCAGGGGTGGGGTTGGGGGAAGGCGTGGAGTGAGGGTTGGGTGGGGTTGGGGCTTATGGTGGGGTAGTTTCTATGGGCCCCACACCTGGGATATGAAGAGGTGGGGGTTGCTCCAGGCCCTAGGAATGGCCCTGGCCTCAGCTGTCCTAGGAATGGCCCTGGCTTCAGCTAATGTTTCAGAAATATTCACAATTGTGCAGGTACACAAGCCTATTAGGGGATTCATAAGGTAGTGCATGGCAGAAAGGGGCAATGCCCGTGTCCTCCATTGTCTGGGCAAAATGCTGTGGACTCTGAGGTTTTACCTATATAAATCCATGGTTTTGAAGGGGTCAAACCTACACACCACAGGCTCCCATAGGTGTGGTCTGCAAATAGCTCAGCACAGCAGGGGTATGGTCAAGCAATTAATCAGAACCCAAAAAATCCATGAGAAAATGCCATGCACACCTCCAGAGTGACTTCCCCTCCATGGATGACTCCCCACCCTACCCCCTTACCCCAAGCAATGACAATAGGGTTTACAAGTTGACATCCCTGAAAGAAATTGGACACAACTTTA